GCAAAAAGTCAATGTCTAGCGAAAAAACTGTCATGCAGGGTAACTGTCTAGCAAGGGACCACTGTATCACTGTATATATATATTTTTAAGGAAGCTGCTCTTAAAAGGCTCATTTTGTATGTTATGCAGCCTTCTGCTGATTGTGAGATCCAACCGGATGTAAACAGCACAGCTGCCATTTTGCACAAGGTGCATCTTCCCCATCCCAGCTAAGTGGGAAGCCTGCTATGCAATTTCCGGCCGGTCCTTGCCAACGCTCCTTTAGCCCCTTCTGGGTCCCCCTTGTTACCTTACAGACAAATTCTTCATCGTCACACAACAAGTCAATATACTGCTGAAGGGAAGGGTCCGGCAACATCCCATCCTCCAGCCCTTGGGAGCCTTGGGACAGCCTTTGCTCTTTTTTCTCCTCCTCCTCCTCTTCTTCTTCCCAAGAGGTCTCCAGGCCATCCATGATCTCCGCATATTGGTACACCGCCTCGGCCGGGATCTCCCGGGGGGCTCCCGGGGTGGGAGTGCTGGCTGGACGGCGCTGGCGGCGTCGGGGCTGGTGGCTCTTGCAGGCCGATTTCTTGGGGATGTAAACTTGAGGGAAGACAAGAAGTCATGGAGTCAATCCCAACACAACCAACCAACCCCCTTGCCGAGCCCAAACGAGTTGTCTTGATGCATTTGACACGCAGCTGACCGAATGGCGGACCTACATTTTTAGGGCCTTTAAGTATGAACAGTTATAAAAAGATAAAGGTTCCCCTTGACAATTTTTGTCCAGTCGTGTCCGACTCTAGGGGGCAGTGCTCATCCCCGTTTCCAAGCCATAGGGCCAGCGTTTGTCCGAAGACAATCTTCCGTGGTCACATGGCCAGTGCGACTTAGACACGGAACGCTGTTACCTTCCCACCGAGGTGGTCCCTATTGATCTACTCGCATTTGCATGTTTTCAAGCCGCTAGGTTGGCGGGAGCTGGGACAAGCGACGGGCGCTCACTTCGTCATGTGGATTCGATCTTACAGCTGAAGATCTACAGACCTTACAGCACAGAGGCTTCTGCAGTTTAATCCACAGCGCCATTACGTCTGAACATGGGACATGGTGGCAGTTATAGGGCCTCCTATTAACCCATGGCTGCCCCCTAGGCTTTCTGGCATTTTTGGCTCCCCTCGGCACGTCCATCTGTCCCTCTCCTACAATTGACAAACTGACCTTGGTACAGTAGGTACTAGACAATGTTGCATAGCCCTACATCCATTTTGAGGGTCTCCTGAAGAATTCTGTTGAGAATTGTTTAAAACTATTTTTATCATGCAAGTAAAACTTTTCAGGAAAACCCATCTGGGGATTTCAGGGGTTCTATACCATTCCACAAGTAAGTGGAGACGTTTGCAACAATAAACAGGCCCTAGAAATGGACTAAAACAGGTGGGAAAGTATATACAAACTGAAATGAAGCCTCTCCTGCCTTTTATTACTCTCACCTGAATACTGGAATAGAGATGTGGACAAAAAAAAAAAAAAGGAACCGGCAAGCAATATGTCATTAGTAAAGGTAAAGGTTCCCCTTGACGTTTAGTCCAGTCGTGTCCGACTCTAGGGTGCAATGCTCATCCCTGTTTCCAAGCCGTAGAGCTAGCGTTTGTCTGAAAACAGTTTCCGTGGTCACGTGGCCAGCGCGACTAGACACAGAACGCCGTAACCTTCCCACCGAGGTGGTACCTATTTATCGACTCCCATTTATATGCTTTCGAACGGCTAGGTTGGCAGGAGCTGGGACAAGTGCCGGGAGCTCACTCCGTCATGTGGATTCGATCTTACGACGGCTGGTCTTCTGACCTTGCAGCACAGAGGCTTCTGCGGTTTAACCCGCAGCGCCACCACGTCCCTTATAATAAGGCATTAAAGTAATGTATGTAAATAAATATACAGTATCGTTATAAGTATGTTAATTGCAAGGATGCACAGACTTGGAAACACACTGGAGGGCAAGAGTGATCATAATCATCATCTCCTGTCAAGTCAGACCCAGAAGTAGTTTCCCAGCCCCTTCTTCTGGAAGTGCCCTGGGAGTAATGTGCAGCTTGCCCAAGGCCACCCAGGCATGATCATAATCATCATCTGCTGTCAAGTCAGACCCAGAAGTGGTTTCCCAGCCCCTTCTTCTGGAGGGTAATGTACAGCTTGCCCAAGGCCACCCAGGCTGGCTCTTCTCCCACGAGGGTTATTGCTTCTTTTAATGTGGCCCTTCCAGAAGACTCCCATAAAGAGGTCTCTTCTGGTCATAGGGATATAATGAAGTTACACTTCAGAATTAACATAACAGGGGCAACAAAGGTAACAAGTAATGTTTTTTAGTTATTCTTTTAGAAGTCATCTTAGGAAGCGTTTTGAGCTGACATTTACAAGCTTATCATTTCTTCCCAAATTTCTTTTTGAAAGCAATAAAAAAAAAAAAAGAAACGAGCCGCCTAAGGCACCAATGAATTAAATAGAGGACTGAAACAGTAAAGAGTTACTTTTGGGGCTCTGTAATGCTACATAAAAATAACTTCAAAAACAGTTTCCAGCGCTCTCCTTATTTCTTGTATTGGCCGGACCCAAAAGGTTTGCTGTGTGATGTGTAACAGCGAGCGAGACCTGTTGGAGTTTTTACAACTTTGCCTGCTGCCTGTAATTTCTGTAACTGTAGGGCTTTTTCTGGGGTGACTGTCAATCTTTCCCTCTCACCTCTGCATTCAGAGAGAGAAGCCCGCCTCTCTGGCTAAGTGTTCTTCTCCCTCTCTTTAGTCTGCCAGAAATCAGCCTGTCTGTTAGTTTGCTGTTGGTCTGTTCACAACTGTAAGTAATGAAAAGTTTTTATGCTTTCTGCTCAGAGTGAGTTATTGAGACGCGAAGTGTTAACGGTAACAAATTAATAACTAGAATTAGACACAACCTTGCTGTTGCCCAGACTCAGAGGCAGGAGAAACAGGCGGCTTGGCGGGTTTGGAGGGCGGCGCTTGGAACTTAGAACAGTTGGCCAACAGCGTCATCTTCTGGATTTGCTGCTCTTCTTCTGCTTCAAACTCCATGAATCTAAGAAGGACAAGGGTGGCGGGGCAAGGAGCTCAATGTCAAATCACAAATTCTGGGAAGTATGCATTTCCGACTGTCCTGATGCTTTCCCTCCAGACACACAGTTCCTTCAAAGTTCCACGCCTAGGCTATCAGACTTGTGAATGAAGCCTATGTTTGCCTCCGGCGAGCAGACTGCAAAACAAAAGCAGGCTGACTTACCCCATGCAAATAAGGCAAGCTCATATGAAGAGAAAGAGATAATTTTTCCTTCTTATGGGATCTCTGCTTCTAATCATCTGCTGTCTCATTTAGTTTCAGCCTTGATATGGGTCAGTCCTCCTTCTCTACATCACAGGCATAACCAGAGCTTGGAAATAACTAGTTCTAAATAACTGAATACTTGAAATCATGCCCTTTCCCAGTAACGAATAATGAAGGTATAACTCAGTTACATGACAATGGGAACTTAAGCAGAGATAACAAAACTCCTTTCTCAGTGCAGCTTTTTAGTTATGGTTACAATTAAGGGGCCACGACTCACTAAATGGAGAACGGCATGATTGAAGTGCTGATCCATGTGGCTGCATTGTGTTCTCTTGTATGTGCTCAAATCACACCGAAGAGAATTGTAAGCCAGAACTGTAGCATTCATATTTTTTTAAAAGTAACCAGAAACAGGTCTTTTGGAAAGTTAAGTGTTACTCTTAAAAAAAAAAAACAACTATAGTTTTAAATGAGTAACCAGAGTAACTCGTGGCGCAGTGGTTAAAACGCTGTTAACAACTATAGTTTTAAATGAGTAAAAAGAGTAACTGTAATAGCCGCCTAGAGTGGTCTAATTGGCTAGATAGGCGGGATATAAATAGAATAAATAAACAAACAAACAAACAAACAAACTACAGAAACTACTGTAGTTTGCAGGTCTGGCGTTATAATTGTAACTAGTTCCTTTTTGAAAGGTACATTCCAAGCTCGAAGACAAACGGCACAAAGGGTCCCTTCTCACTTTTCCGCCATCTCATAGAAGATCATGCGCTCAAAGTTGGTGCTGTGATCCCACTCTTGGACGGCGCGGGGAACCCCATCCTCCAGGGTCATGTCGGGGCGAAGGCGGGCCAACGAGCGGAGCACAGGGCTGTAAGGGCAGGAGCAGGAGATCACGCCATCAGAGAGAGTCCAAATTCTGAGCTGCATCTCAGAACTAGGAATCTTTAACTGTTTTCACGTTATTCATGATTCTTACTTTACTAAGGAAAAAAAAAGAATCTTAAAGGGGCAGCTCTTGGCAAAGATTTCAGATAAATGCATTGGGAAATTTAATTTTTTTAAAATAACATTTTTGGCTCTATTCCTCTTACTTTACAGTTTATTCAAGAAGCAGAATCAAACAGTCAGGTTTTAGGCTGCAGATCAGAACAAGGGTAGGCCTATATCGTGCTTGTGAGACTTCCTTTTTAAAAAATCACTGGGACTCCAAAATCCATCAACCAGAGAGTGGTGCAAAAGACACAAGACTTTGAATTAAAGAAACTGGAGCTCAGAGATTTGCTATATCAGAACTGAATAGGTTCAAAATTAAGACACCCTGACCATCCCGCGGGGTCTAGCACAGCAGGGACCCAAATGCTCCCAAATATCTTTACGTGTTATTTTTCAACATGCAGGGAAGACTAGGGGTTGGCTGGCTGGTTTTCTTTTTAAATGGCATTCTGTTCTGTTTTCTATTCTGGGGCAATTAGACATGCCTATGTGCTGGCAGTATGAAGCTGTCCAGCCTAGGAAAATCCATGCCTCTCAATTCTGCAGATTGGATATAAAACTGGCCTTTAGACATGGGTGTGTATTAATGGAGATCCCTTCCCCAGGATGTGAAATGGGAATCACTCTGAGATCTTAGGCTGGCTAACTATAATGATTAATGGTCAGGTTTTATCAGGGATGCCAGACTTCACAAACAAAAATAAAGAGATTTATAGTATTCCCAGTCCATTCTTGCGGAGATGGATTTTGCTACTGGACACATTTACGTTTGCCCAAGGCCTGCCTCCAGCCAGTTTGATTGGGCTTAATCATATGTGTAAAAGTAACCAGAAATAGCTATTTTGGAAAGTTAAATGTTACTCTGAAAAAAACAACAACTATAGTTTTAAAAGAGTAATAATAACTATAGTAACTACTCTGCAGGTCTGACGTTGTAATTATAACTAGTTCCTTTTAAAAGGTGCATTCCAAGCTACACAGACAGACCGACAGACAGACATGATTAAGCCCAATCAAACTGGCTGGAGGCAGGCCTTGAGCAATATAGATATCGTTTTTCCTTGAAAATAAGACAGGGTCTTATATTAATTTTTGCTCCAAAAAAATGCATTAGGGCTTATTTTCAGGGGATTTTTTTTTCACGTACAACAATCTACATTTATGCAAATACTGTCATGTCATCTTCTGGTTGCTGCACAAGGGTAGAGGTTGGGGTTTCACTTAATTGGGGCTTATTTGGGGGTAGGTCTTATATTACGATCATCCTGAAAAATCAAGCTAGGGCTTATTTTCAGGGTAGGTCTTATTTTCGGGGAAACATGGTAGGTAGGTAGGTAGGTAGGTAGGTAGGTAGGTAGGTAGGTAGGTAGGTAGGTACAGTAGGTAGGTAGGTAGGTACAGTAGGTAGGTAGGTAGGTAGGTAGGTAGGTAGGTAGGTAGGTAGGTAGGTAGGTAGGTAGGTAGGTAGGTAGGTAGGTAGGTAGGTGTAGAGACAGAGAGAGGGAGAGAGAGAGAGAGAGAGAGAGAGAGAGAGAGAGAGAGGACTAAGCCTTGTATCCACAAGGATTCACTTATCCACAGTCTGAAAATATTAAAAAATATATTTTTAAAAATCCTAGAAATATATAATTTTATGATGACATTGTCAGAACTGGCCATTAGAGGGAGCCAGACACCCTACTAATTACCACACTTACTATGAAAATAGACTTCACTCTAATCTGCGTTTTTCTGCATCGATGGGGGGGGGGCTCTTGAAACCAACCCCCTATGGATACTGGTGTCCTACTGTATTTAAAACTCAGCAACAACCCAGCTCTCGGACCGCTCCAAACCATCACGATAAACGAATGCCCTCTAATTCTGCTTTTTAGCCTGCAGGTCCTCATTATCTCAGCTCAAGAACCCCCCCTTTCTCCTCCCAGCCCAGGGCCCTTGCCAACAAGACCCTCACATGAAGAAACAAGCGAGAGCTTCAGCATCCGGGCTGGCTGGGAAATGACGCCTAGCCAAGGCCTTGTAGCGTTGCCAACGCCGGTAATTCTCGTAAACCCCCTTGGAGGTACAGGCAAAGGAAGTCTCCCCGGGAGGGGGCGCTCGGACGGACGGGGCCACCTCCGGCCCTCTGGGCTTCCTGGCGCCCATCTCTTCGCCAGCTTTCGCCAGCAGCAGAGTACGAACACCTGGACCCACCGGCCCGTCTCGGCACTGAGCACCCCAGCTCAACGGCATCCCCGTCAAGAAGAACGTCTGCGTGCGGGGCATCTCCTCCGAATTCCCCGCGATGGGTCCTTCCCTTTTAAGCTTGATGATCAGCTTGCTTCCCGGAGCATCGGGGGACGTTACCAACAGAGCGGCGCCAGGGAAGGCGGGCAAGAGCAGCGAGGGGGCACTGGGGGGACAGGGAGGAAGGGTGGGGCCTGGGTTATGGGCCGTGGAGGTCATGGCTCTGTGGGAGGAAGAATCTGAAGTCAAGGGAGGCATTCAAAGGAGCAGGTGCCCTCTCCCATCTCTCCGTGAAGTCCTGTTCTGAGAGTCTTCATGGCTGTGGGTCAGAAACAGGGACTTCTGAGAAATACACGACTGGGCCGTTCGGTTTCCATGAAGATCTCACATTGTTGACTGAGCTCTAGGTTTGAGGGTTCATAGCAACAATTCCAGAACTTGGACACCTTGAGAGTTCCGGCAAGGATTGGAGGTTGAAGTTCCTTCTGCTGGCCTGCTTTTTCCATATCCCCTCTGTTTCTCTTGTCATGCCATTCGGTGAACATCTGGACATTTCAATGACTGGTAAGAAGTCACAGCTTCCTCTTGCCAGCAGAAGTGGTTGTTCCATTTTTGTTGTTGCTGTTTGGTCATTAAGTCCTGTCCGACTCTTCGTGACCCCATAGACCAGCGCACGCCAGGCCCTCCTGTCTTCCACGGCCTCTTGGAGTTGGGTCAGATTCATGTTGGTCACTTCGATGATCCTGTCCAGCCATCTCGTCCTCTGTCGTCCTCTTCTCCTCTTGCTCTCATACTTTCCCCACATCAGGATCTTTTCCAGGGCGATTTCTCTTCCCATGAGATGGCCAAAGGATGGGAGCCTCAGCTTCAGGATCTGTCCTTCCAGTGAGCACTCAGGGTTGATTTCCTTCAGGATGGATAGGTTTGTTCTCCTTGCAGTCCAGAGGACTCTCGAGAGTCTCCTCCAGCACCACAATTCAAAAGCATCAATTCTTCGGCAGTCAGCCTTCTTTATGGTCCAGCTCTCACTTCCATACATCGTTACTGGAAAAACCATAGCTTTGATGATGCGGACCTTTGATGTCTCTGCTTTTTAAGATGCTGGGTTGTTCCACTAGAGGTCAGCATATCATCAAGTAGATTTTCCATCTTCTCTGAAGGCCGGGCTCCGGGAACTTTGGCAACAGCTTGACCTGCAGACAAGAACCGGCGATCGTGCCCCTCTCCAAATGGCGAAAAACTTCACCCGAGGGTGCCCCCATTCCACGCTATTGCTGTAAAGGCAGGAAAGATAACTGGGGCGGTTTTTATTATTTATTTATTTTACTGATCAGCTACCATCAACGCATTTAGCTCACAGAAATAAGAGCCCTAACCTGCGCTGGCACGCACGATACAATCGACAACAGAAGTCCCAAATCTAGTCAAACCTCAGATGGCAACTGCAGTGTGGGCTTGGGAAGTGCTGCCAGACCCATGGTGCCTGCTCCAACCTTGGGCAAATTGATGAAGACCTACTGCTATCCAACTTGAGGGATACGTTTACATGTACTGTACGCTGTTTCAAAGGAAGGCCAAATGGGAAGGTGCGTGCACGTGCAACATGGCCTGTGTTTCTTTGTTCAAAAAAAAAAAAAACCCAAAAAACTGGGATATGATATCCAACCCACAGCTGCCTCAGCTGTAACTTTAAAGCAACTGTCTTAAAGCAGCCTGCATCTTTTTTTGACTTACCTCTAAGGCAGACGTGCCTGGCAAAATGGATTTTTGCCCAGAACTTTTTGGACTTTACACGGAAGAGTAAGTTTCCTGGCAAAATCCATCTTCGTTTTAATGCAGCCTGCATCTTTTCTTGATTTACATCTAAGACAGACGTACCTGGTAAAATGGATTTTTGCCCGGAACTTTTTGGACTTTACACCAAAGAATAACTTTCCTGGCAAAATCCATCTTGTCAAGAACTTGCACGGACTTTTGGATTTTAGTTTTGAACTGTTTCCCTGTCCTGACTTGCCATGAGGAATGCTGGAAAATAAGAGGCTGCCAAATACCTCTAGGTTGTGACCACCCAACTAGAAAAGTATTCAAAAGCAGTTATAGTTCTGTCATGAAAGGAACACTAATATTGGCCACTACATCGGGGGTTTGATGGGTGCCAACATTGATGCCATTTTATCACCGTCAAGACGTACCTATTTATTTGAGTCTTTTGGGGGTTGAAGATCGTGGCCCGTGCATGTTTTAGTGCTTTTTTTCATGTTTGGGTGTTTTAATTTTGTGCTATTTGATTTTAAATTGCTTTAAATATCTTATGTTTTAAAAAAAAATTTAAACAGTTTGGTAACCTGGACTGAGATCCTATGATTTCTTCTTGCAGAAAATGAACTTCAGTTTAGAATTAAGGTGCACAGGCATTTTAAATATTGTATCTTCATTTTTTAAAAAATCACAGTTTTCATTCTCATTTTTGTTATGTTTATTTTTACTGCTAGGTTGTTTTAGGCCGCTAGGTTTTAACTTTCCCCTCAGCCTTTTATTTTATTTTATTGTATTTTATCTTTGTTGTCTTTTATGTTATGGTTAGCCATCCTGCAAATCAGGAATAGTAACTTCATATGGACAGTACACCCAGTACCTGACGTGGTCCTGTTTGGCACAATAAATCTGGAATCACACTTGCAAGGCCTAGCTGCCATTTTAATTTCCACACAACTCTTACAATAATGGTAACCGAATCTAAGCAACTGGTACTGCTTGAAACACTGCTGCCCAGTAAGAACTCCAGAGATTAGAAAATTCACTTTTTTTGGACTACAACTCCCAAAATCCTTCAGCCAGCATGACCTATGTGCTCCAGGCCTCCTCAACTCTAGAAATCACTGCTAGAATCAGTGCTAACAAAGAATAATATATTTTTTAAATAGTGACAATAAATAATGAGAAAGGAAAATGTTTTAAACAATATTGGGCTGCATTAATAGTCCTGTTTCTTACAAGGTGCAGATTTAGGCCTAAATCCATTTATTAATCCAGGTCGGAAAAAACTCATTTAAAGTACATAATTTAGTAAGCCAGTATTTATGTAGATTTATACATTACTAAAACAGCGACGTCTACGTTGGTTCGGGCATGACATGAGAATGGCAGATGCTCAGATTCAGAAAGATCTCCTGTATGGAGAAGTAGTGCAAGGAAAACGCCCCAGAGGGAGACTAGAGCTGCGATACAAGGAGATCTGCAAGTGGGATCTGAAGGCCTTAGGAATAGACCTCAACAGATGGGAGACCTTGACCTCTGAGCGTTCAGCCTGGAGGCAGGTGTTGCATCACAGCCTCTCCCAATTTGAAGAGTCCCTTGACCAGCAGGCCGAGGCAAAGAGGCAGTCCCAAAACCAGCAAAATCAGGGAGCTGGACAGGGGACAGATTGTATTTGTCTTCAGTGTGGAAGGGATTGTCACTCTCGAATTGGCCTCCTCAGCCACACTAGATGCTGTTCCAAGTCCTCCATACAGAGCACGTTACCATAGTCTCGAGACTGAAGGATGCCTAAACAATTTATGTACATTTTTGATTCCAAGGATCTTATTCAGATTAACATCAGAATAAGGCCCGTGTGTCAAAACTGGGTGGAGAGGTGTTGAGTGTTTTTTCCTTCTTGTTGCTATTGGTGGAATACTTTAAATCAGCAGGATATTTTCTATTTTTCTTCTTTTTTTGTTTGTTTGTTTCCAAACACTTTGCTATGAGTAAATTCCAGTGTCTACGGTGATATATATATATCCTTCCTCCATCCTGAGAAAAAACAACAGGACCACAATTCCAGTGGAAAAACCAATGCAACTGGAATTGGATTTTCCCAGCACAAAGACTTGGGACGGGCAGAGCTGTGGAACAAAAAAGGAGCAAACACTGATGGGCACATGTTCCAAAACGAAGATCTGGCTATTTTGAACCCCCATAGTTAGGTTGTGTTTTTGAATGAAACATCAAGGGGAAAAAATATTCTGATTTTTTAAAAATAGCCTTATGATCAAAATCAAGTAGAGACCTTAGATAAACATTGCTTACATCAAGAGGACGGGGCAGATTTTAAAAGGAGAAAACTCTGTACTGCCAGCAATGCCTTTAAGATTTCAACCAGTAAAACCCGCCGGGTTTCTTGCAACGATAGGCTTGCAAGAGCCGAAACTACAAATCCCAGAAGCCAGCGGGGCAAATGGACTGCAACTCTCCAGATGACGCGGCGCCCAGCGTAACTGCGTAAGCCTTGAACCGAAAGACTACAGCCCCCATGATGCTCTGCGTCCCCGGCGTTCGAAGACTAAGGGACGCCATCGCGCAGGGAGAGGTGGGCTTGGTTTGCACGTGTGCGGTCTTGCGTGCACGCTGAATTGGCTTTTAGCGCTACAAAAAGACACGAATTCCTTTTAAAACCTCTCGCATCATCAGCCACAATGTTCCTGCAGTATTTCCTCGACGAGCAAGGGAACAGGGTCTACACCCTCAAGGTAGGAATTATTGACCTCGATGGCCCTGGCGCGTAACGTCTGAATGCTTGATCTCCTCCACCGGCAAGCCTAGATGCTGTATTCTTAGCCGGCTCGTAATTTTGTTAGTTGTCACCCTCCTGATGCGCCCATGTATGCACCCGTTTGTCTTCCTCCCACATATTTATTTTCGTAATAGTTACTTCTGGGGTCTTTGCACGTGAACGGATGTGCATCCTAGAGATTTAATGCTGGGATCCTGCTGGCTTCTGCCTTAAACAGGTTATGTTTTGATTGCTTGCGTATGGAATGGAGATTTCAGGGGGAGGGGAAAGAAAAGGTTCAGTCGTGCACAAGCAGTGTGGTCAGCTCACCCTGGAAAAAGAGGAGGAAAATAGTTTCTCCAAATCAGGAAGTAGAGTGTTAGTGGTCTGCAATGTTTTCCTTAAAGAAGAACAAATGTAATACAGGAAAACTGCGATATCCACGGAGGATCCTCGCGGATGCTGAAAACGCGGAACTCTCGAACGCTATACATTGCATGGTCTCTAGCTCCTTCTAGCGGCCAGATCTGGTGAATACACCTTTTTTATTTAGTATTTTCAGGCAACGGATAAATGAATCAGTGGATACTGATGGCAAGGATTCAGGGGGTTCTACTGTATTTCCTTTATAAAGGTGCGGATGCAGAGAGGGAAAGGGGGGAATAAATCAGGCATGGCTCAAATTGATTAGACAGCTAAAGGTCCGCTTGTGTGTTTATTTTCCAAGCGTTGCGGTTCCCAATAGAAGAAGTATTTGTTAAAAAGTATTGTGGTGTTGACCTAAGTGGCTCTCAGTGAGTGGCACTTTTGTAATAGTGTGACCATCATGAAATATATCCATCATTTCCTTCTCTTGCTGTTGAACTGCAGTTTCCATAGACTGCGTAAGTCCATAACATCTGGAGGACTAGCACCTTGCCCAGCCTGCTGTTTCTAGGGTGGTTTAGTGTTCGGTTCATAAGCTTGAAGGTTTGCATGCGTTCCTATTCCTTTTTCTCCTTCTGTTTGGTCGCCAAGAAGAGACTGGAAGCTTTTATTTCCTTTGGCTGACTTAGAGATGGTAAAGAAACTGAAAGGAAATATTTAATGTCGAATGGTTCTATAATATTTTAGCTTCCCCTGCCCTCCCCCGTTGTTAAAGATAAGCCAGGACCCAGGTTGTGTGGTTTTTTTTAACCTGTTGTTAAGTTGCTTTTCCACCTTTTGTTTGAAGAGTTTTGGTTGTGAATGTGTTGTGTGTGTGTGTTGTTGTTATTATTTATTTAAAATATTCATATGCCGCCTCATGTGTTGTGTGTGTGTTGTTGTTGTTGTTGTTATTTATTTAAAATATTCATATGCCGCCTTTCTCCCAAAGGATCCAAGGCTGCTTACGGTATTAAAAGAAATGGAGTTTAAAAAAACCAAATAATAAATTTATGCATTTTAAAAGAAATGGAGTTTAAAAACACCAAATAATAAATTTATGCATTTTAAAAAGCTTTAAACAGTTATATTAAAACTTGTAATGAGAATAATATTTAAAATGATAAAAAAAATACAAGCAAAATTCAGAATAAAATCCTCCATTATGCGCCATCAAGTCATTTGGGACTTACGGCAACTCTATGCATGCACAGTCTCCCAACTGTGTTATACATAGCTAAACTCAGTATGAGAAAGAAGCCATTGTAATATTTTGTGCAGCTTTAGCTGGGCCTGAGAAGCTGTGAATGTCTGCAGATAGTGTGCTGTGGGTTCACACTGTCCAATCCTGTTACTCACTCATGCTGTTAAATCAATGGAATGAGCCTAGCTGAAAAACCCAAGGAGAAGGCTTTTGGTGGTTGGATGGTCTTGTTACCTTGTTTTCCCTTCCCAGCTAAACTTGAGCATCAATTTAGCTCTATGGTAGAACAGTTCAGAAGGCTGAATTGTCAGTTCCGAGAGCCCATCAATAAAAATGCCACAACATGATTATATTTTATTAGTCAGATATGGCGTTTCATACCCTGATAAGAGAGTACAATAATTAGGATTACTGTAATATTCTTCAAATTCTGTAAGAGTGAATACAGAAATCACCATGCTTGTTTGTCGCATAATAATTAGTTCCATAGATTAATTTATGGGTTGTATCATATAGTCATGTTCATTTTCCCCCGTCCCACCACACTGTGCTGTTAGATCTATGAACAATTCAGGTTGCACTGTGCTGCCCCGAAAATAAGACCTAACCTGAAAATAAGCCCTAGTATGATTTTCCAGCATGCTCCTAATATAAGCCCTCCCCCAAAAATAAGCCCTAGTTAAGTGAAACCCCGCCCTCTACCCTTGTGCAGCCACCAGAAGAAGATGACATGGCTGTAAAATAAAACATCCCCTGAAAATAAGCCCTAATACGCTTCTTGGGGCAAAAATTAATATAAGACCCTGTCTTATTTTCAGGGAAACATGTGTGTGTGTGTGTGTGTGTATAACTGAAGATACGTTATTTTGTTGGCTCAGTAATTTAGTCACCCACATTACTTCAAAAATTCTATAATTTATTCAAGTAGTTAGTTCCATTGTCAGAATAAAATAACTGTATAATAAGTCATTTATACTTGTCTACTATGATAGTTTATTTCTTCTGTGTACATTTTCGTAGAATGGAGGGTGACATATAGAATAGTGGGGGATTGTGAAGGGTTTGAAATTGTATATGCATTTTTAAGTGGATTAGTTAGTATTGCATTTGCTCACAGATCTCTCTACCTCTCCGGTTTTCAGAAGGCAGATCCCTCTGGACAACCCACTTGCTCAGCCCATCCTGCACGCTTCTCCCCGGATGACAAATATTCTCGACACAGGATCACCATCAAGAAACGCTTCGGTGTCCTGCTGACCCAGCAGCCTCGGCCTGTGGTATAAAATCCCAACCTCTGGTGCCAGGTGAGACCATGGCAGGAAGAGAGA